GTTAGTCGATTCTTCAAATATCCGAAAACCGGTTATTCGGTTATTCGAATCTTCAAATATCCGATTATTCGATGATCTACTTCCTTTTTTTTAGACATCGATTTGTCCGATTGTAATTGACCTTTTTTTTTTGGAGATCGATTTCTTCGTAAACAAATTTGACTTCCAGATTTTTTTTTTAGACAATTAACCGGTTTTATCTGAAATCGGTTTTTACGGAACCCGGTTAACCGGTTTCACTTTTTTCCGGTTTTTGCCAGCACTAGTCGAAACCTTTTGATGTGACCGCTTTCGAGCGGGATCCGAAAAACAAAACTCCAACTGTCGCAAAACACGCCATTTTTTAAAAAATTTTGCGAAAAGTCATAGTTTTGTTTCATTCGACACAAGTTTGTGTTTTGTTTTTGTTTTGTCCGTTTAGTGGAAAACCGCCTTTTTGAAGCGGGACCCGAAAAACAAAACTCCAACTGTCGCAAAACACGCCAGTCTTCAAAAAGTTTGCGTTTAGTGGAAAACCGCCTTAACTTTGGAATTTTGTAAATAACGAACAAATTAATATCTAAAAAAGTTCAATACAGATTTTCAAAGGAAATTTAAAACTCTACAAAAAAAAGGTCTCTTAACATTTTTGCATAAATTTACTCCTTCAAAAGTTATTCACGATTGAAGTTGAAGTAAAAATTAAATTTTTGATTTTTTCGTTTTAGACCCATTTTTTTTCACTCAATGAAACAAATTGATATTATACATCATCGACAATTATTATTCTATCAATATAATCACCAAAAATATCCAAAATTCATAATATATTCAAATTTATTCTCGCTCAATAGCAATTTTTTCTACAAGAACGTAGTTTTACTGTCTCAAAGTAATTTTAAAAATAACAATTATGTAGTTTTACTAGTTTAGTTAACATCGTAGATATAGGTTCTAATTGATACAAAGAAGAAACGTATAGAAAAAGTTGAAATTAAGTTGCTCTTTACAACTAACGAAGTAGAGTAGTAGCGTTATAAGGCAAAAGCCGCTCGGAAATTCCCTCTTTTTGCATTAAATAGAACTTATTTTTAGGGAAATTAAAAAAAATAGCTATTTTTTATAACGATAATTGTTAATTAACTATTGGACGTATCGGACCGGGATTTAACGGACAATTAAAGAAAGTGTAAACTTTTATTTTCAAAAAGTTTTACAATGACGCAATACTTAAACGTTTTACGTTTTTTTAAATTTTTGATCTAATATTTCATTTATTTAACTTCTAAGCCCTATTTAATGTAAAAAGAGCGAATTCCCGAGCGGCTTTTGATTGACCTTGGGGCAAGATAAGCCAACTAGATTTTCGTGGACAGCAAAAAAGTGATAAAACACGTAATTTTGGCATTTATTTGCCAACGCTCACTTCTTTCAAGTTAGTGTTTTGATAATATATACATACCCTTGCCCGTCATAAAGTGCAATGAAATGTCTACTAATAATATTTTTACGTTCAAACTCTAATTCGATCAAAAACAGCGGTAGCCAAAATAACAATAGATCGAGAGTGTAAAGTATATAAAACAATAAATTTGCGATGTAGAAGAAGAAGAAGCATAGTTGTGGGAATGAGATTCAACTTTGACGAGTGTTATATTTAGTACCACATCAATCTCTGGCAATTCCATGCACACAGAACATTGGACACACCCTGTATGTAAATAAATATATTAATTTCGATAAGCCTATTTTACTATTAATTGTATTAATACAAAAAATTAATAGCTAGGTATTATTTTATTTTATTTCTATTGGCTTTTATTCTAAAAGTTGTTTTTGCCAATAAACTGATAACTGATCAGTTTATTGTGACACGTACAATAGCATCACAAGCATAACATCTCGTAATAGAATCAACAATTTCCATTTATTCAATAAACACATCTGAAATTGCTAATAATTATTATTATTCTCCATAAAAGGAAAAGGCACGAATCCGAAACGGGCAAAACATGTTTACCACCAATTGTTTGGATAGGCACCAATCGATACTCTAGGAAACTGAATCATCGTCTAACCCCGTCCAACATTAAATTACACCCACAATAACTAGAAACCGCTAAGATCATTCGTCAGCAGAATCCCCAGAACATTGACCGATTGTTACTATTATTCTAACGGATTGTTTACTTAGTTATTGTGTAATTTAAAGACCTTTATTGATTAAATATCATACTTTATTGTAATTAAAAAATTAAACTACTCAATATTAAAAGTCACTGAAACGTTTTTTTGTTCGAAATCGATAAAATTAATTGTTTTTTCCAGTTGAATCAGGGTGTATATTATTGCAATTATTTTTAAAATTCACAAATTTAAAAAGCCAATCAATGCAAATAAAGATAATTTGTAGATCTTAATGCTTACAGTGGTACAAAACAATTTTTTATTTTAATTTCAAATCATACTTTGTTTATATTGCAACATTTGTTTAACTTCGATTTTAACTCTTTTTAAGGGTTTGAGATGGAGATTTTTAAATTTTTTGCAATACTTAATAACTGGTTATCAAAGTCTTCGTCAATATATGTAATTTAAGGCCTTTAGGGCTTAGTTTTAGGTGATTTTTTGATGATATTCTTTTGATAATTAGAAATAAATTTATTAACTTTTAGTAGAGTAGAATCACCCCCTAAATTTAAAGTTTCTTGACTGTACCTATGTTTCTTAACAGCTACCTACATATTAACGAAAAAAATAAATTAAGATGATTTTTTTACACTTACATTACCTGAAAACAAAGAAATATTATATAAGCAATAAAAACAATTTTAGAGGAACGACATGCCACAAAGTACGTAACAAAAAAGATGCCCACGACACTGAACCTCATTTTTCCAAGAACACAAACAATTTTGCTATACAGTGACGTAAAACCTTAAGTCGATATTCGGAGTGTCAGGGCTCAGGTATAAAATAAACAATTTCTCGGTCCAGTGGCTTGTACTTACGCACTATTCAACCTTTTTTTAGACAAGGAATGAACGAAATTCACAATTGCTACCTATACGACTAAAGTATTTTGTGAATAACTATGGAATACTTTAGTATATGTGATTATTATTGCACAAAGCATTTTTTCTTTGAATTTAAACTTACAGTTTACCTGTTGATAAGTGAACCACTATTTACACATTCCTAAATGTTTGGAAACCCACGAGAAAGCGGAAAACATACAATTATTGTTATCTGCTGACTCATAAAAAATCACAATGGTGTTCTTATTCACCATATCAACTTTATACAGTTTTATCTATGGTAACGCGATGTATTTCATCGTAGGATGTAAAATACTAACTTTTACCTCCGGATACGATAAAGTGTTTTCATACATTTAGAATTTATTGTTAAAAATATGCCACAAAAATTATATTTTGAAAATAAAACAATAATATTTAACTCTTGAGGTACATGTATGTTTCTGTATTGCCGTTTTTGCCCTTTTCAAAGGCTAAGTCATCGAGGCATTCGCCCTGGCAAGCTTTCAAATAATTAATGATCCCATAAAAAATCGATCACCACTTCAAGGATGGCAGAATTTCTACAGCTAGAGGCACTAAGCGCAGCAAGATTAACAACACAAATATTTTAGACACGAACCAACGTCTACCAACATGCCGAATTATTGCAATAATTGTACTCAAATAATACAAACCCAAAAATTGTATTTAACAACCGCCAACTTGGATATTGTAGGGCGGTTTTATTACAATAAAAATAACAAACGTAGGAGGCGGCGAGGAGAAACTTAAAGCTTATTGACGTTGGCCATGGATTTCTACTGTTTTCTCTAGGCTATTTTTACCCGGTTTTTAGATCGAGTTCGATTACCAAGTAAACTCAATTTTATTTTAATCGAGTTTTCACATCACACGAAGGTTACAAAATACACTAAAACACGTCCTAAGCTTTTACAGGTTAGTTAGTAGGTGCAGGTATATATTACCTTGCACCTATCTGTACACAATACCTATGTAGGTATTTCAAGTAACGGACGTAGCATTTGAAATGATTATTAACGATTACTGTTAACAAGTAAACATTAATTATTAAGTATCAACTCATTAACACCTGTTATTTCCTTACAATATCACGACCCGTTTTTACAGCTATTCGTTACATAACATTTTTTCAGTAAATTCCTTCAAATGCATAGCCTACTTATTCCAAGTCTGCCTCTGTGGCCGCTCAGTTAAAAATAATACGAAACAACAGTTTTATTAAACGAGAACCATTAATTGTTTTAACTCGCAAAGAGTATTATTAATGGCATTGGCGAAGTCAAATACCTCTATACAAGGTCAATCTTTTCATCTCAAGAGGAAATTAAAAAAAAAATGAGAATGTAAATCAACCATGTTAAAGCAAAAAAATAAACTATGCTTTAGTATAATAATTATTAGTTATTTCGATTTTCCTAAACACATTATTTAACGATTCCAGGGTATCATCGAGTAGGTTCGGGAAGGATAAAAATATTTATGAATTATTTACTTGACGTGAAATAATTTTGTCGTCCTTGCCTCATACCCCAACAATAATAAACGTAACTGTCAGTTAAAGATCCAGCGGAAATTACCTGCCAAACCACGGGTTCCCTCGGCTTTAAAGTCGAAACCGAATCCCGAGAATGCGAAATAGACTTGAAAAAACGATTTAGTGCAACGTAAACAAAATAACAATGCAGATTTAGCGTGATAATGTATCTAACGTGACTAGCACGGCCCATGTTTTCGTTATGACGGCATAAATTACGGCACAATTCGACCGATTTGGCACAAAATCCGTGAAACGAACCTCTCACGGGGTCTGGTCAATCGCTAATCACGCAATGGATCGAAGAAGACATTTATTATACACGGAAACATTCGCACATTACCAAAACAACCGCCATATTGATACACAATCCGAATATAATGTTTTCAGTTTTTTTAAAAGGTAAATTATCGGATGGGACTTACATAACGTTGGGCTGAAGTAAAATCCTATTGCAAACAGAGTGCTGAATTGAAGAATTCGTAACGCCATAAATCAGTATTCATTTGGGATTGTTAAAAAACACGTAATATCACCCACCACACTAGTAACAACACACACAGACTAAAATAGCGCGATTCAATGCTGTGCTGATCGAGTTGGGTAGAAGTTCCGAGTTTTCCGTACCAGCGCCAACCATTCTCATTTTAGCATATACGCTCGGCGCACGCGCCCTGCCTGATAGTTCACTACCGGACAATAAAAAACATGCTAATTTCTCAAATAATAGTAAGGATTCGATGGAAGTGGGTATCAGGCAGCGGTGCGTATTTCCGTATCACTGGATAATAATTAAAAATCTCCGCGGATAAGCGATAATCCGGCTTATCGCAGAGCCTGGAAAGGCTGCACAAGTAAACAATAATTACACAATTTTCCTATCTGAAGTAATTTAAATTAAATGGAGTGTTGGGAGAGGTCAGGAGTGTTTCACGATTAACAACTATATGTGTCATGTGTATTTAGTAAACAGAACGAATGCGATATGATGTAACTCACGTATTTAATAACAAATTATTTCTGTTTGCAGTTCGAGCCATTGTTCTAGATTAGAGATTAGATATTAAATAAATGTGGTTAAATGCATTAACTCGGTAGGAGTTTAAAGAAACCTAAGTATGTTGCGATAATAGGCTTTAATGGAATAAGTGACAGATTAATATTGAAATAAATGGTTTTAATTGCCGCAAATAAAATTTTGATACGTAAACATTATTCTTAATTATCTCTAAGGAATGATAATTGAAATTTTTTATTTATGTACTGTAGGTATTCATAGAGTTGTATCCCACATTGTAGAAATACCTACCTAGCTACCTTAAATTTTGGGTTTTCCCAATTTTTTCAACTAAACGAATATAGATAAGTTGGTAAAATATTTAATCGAAATAGTAGGTAGGTATATTACCTACACAATAGTTAAAAATATACGTAATACAATTTTTACTGGTTTAAATAAATATACCTGCCTACTTTAAACCATAATTTAGACTTCACACTAAAAAATTTCGTTTCTTTCATTAAATTCCTTGACTGTTCTAACCTATAGACGCAGTGGCGTGTAAGACTCCGAAAAGAGGGGGTTGCGAAATGAAATATTATTAGTATATGGATAAAATAATATACAAGGCATCCAAAATATAATGGGTTATCTCTCGGATTTGGGAATGCCTTGCAAAAATAATATGTTACATGACTATTCATGTATATTTATTTTTTTTTAACCTACAAAGCTGATAGCTACACCTAAGTTGAAAATCGAGTTTTCATTATTTTTTGTTTCAAATAAATTTGAACTGTCGACGGTGATACTCCGTTTTAAAATTTTTGACGATTTTTTTTAAATACCTACTCATTTTTTCCTACTAAAATATATGTCGCAGATGTATGTCCTTGTTTATTTTTATTAATTCGTATTCCAAACATATTTCAACATCTAAAGTCCAGAGGTTTTTCTTGGGAGACTTGACTGATAGATCATAACAGAAACCTCTGCTACATTTTTTTTTAAAGATTTCTGAGAAATTCATATAATTATCAAATTCGACAGGCCCATTACGTTCAGGAAATAAATTTAAAAAAATAGTTGGTGTCGTCGTAAACACGTTGTGAATGTGAACATTCTTCTTCTTCTTCTTAAATGAACATATTAACCTGTTATTTCATTTGATCAACTTAACTATTTTTGACCTTTGAAATAATCGTTTGACCCCGGTATAATACGTCGTTGAAATCGTAATTTTTCATCCATTGTCTCCATTCAATGATAAAAAAATGTAATGCAGAAATGCTCTACTAAGAAAATAAAAAATTGGCTATGAAAATAAAATGCGAAAATCTAGTAGGCCTGGAAATATTCTAACCTTAACCTTTCAACAGATAGAGCGATAGAGTTTATCACCCTAAATGTACACATATCGAACTTCATTATTCTGCTGTTAATAATAAAAATGGCGAAGGAACCATTCGGCTTCAGTTTTTTGTATGTATTTCTTCTAGTTGATATGAGGTCGCATTTGTACTTTGTACTTTTGTACTTGTACCTACTTAAGTAATATCTTCAGGGAAAAATTTGAATTAATATTTGCATATTTATTTTTATATTTTCTTAAAATTGTAAAATGTATGATTGTACTTTTGAACTATCATAATCCATTTCCATCTGTCAAGTACTGGTTGCATCAATGGAATTTAGAAAGCCACAACGGACATACCTAACTTTATTTTTATATAATTATACATATATTCATATTATTAATTAGTATCATTGAAATTCTCGGTTGCGTAACAAGCCCGCTGCCTACAGTGTATTAAACACTGAATAATGAATTACTTAAATTGTTTACATTTTAAAGACTGGCTGTATAAATAAATGAATGAATCGGTAACAGCCAATTAACAATCTTGCATCTTGCTCTTAATTTATGTAAAAAAAAAGAGAATTAGATGCTAGTAAACAATTTTATTTACTTAAACTGGGAATATTATGAATAACAATTTCATTGTTGCAAGAATATAGCAACGCCTCTAGAATAATAAATAGTTTACCTTTTGTTGTTAGCAATTAAATAAAATTATACTTAAGTAGGTATGGAAACTAACTTTTTAAATTTAAAAATATCATTCAAATCGTACTTCCCAAAAAAATATACATATAGAAGAGTGATGAGTGATGTTCCAAATATTTTTATTTTTTCAGCTATACATTGGCAATGGCAAAGGTGGAAAGATTATTCATACTATTTTTTATTTTGGGCTGTCAGTGCTGTCAGCTGACACCCACAAATCGGTGGTACTTATTAACTTATAATTGAAACAAAGATCATCACCAAAAATTTCATATTTTAAACATTATTCATTTATTGGAAACAGCAGTTTATAAATTAATAAAAGTACTGCTCTTGTCTATTTTTAGATAAATCGTCACGCTTATAATAAACTTAAGGATAGAAGGATACTAGGTGGCGACTCTTCTTAAATATCGTTTATTTATACTAAGTTTTTCGGAAATTGCGATCGAATTTAGCCGATTATTAGGAAGTGATCTTGTCGTTCAGAAAGGGGACAGGTTAAACTTGAAAATCGATCGGAAACTGATGAGTTACCAAATCGCTTGTTCGTTTAGTGTTCAGTGGATAATGAACATGATAAACAACAATCAAGGATTTGTGTACATTTCACCGACACCAATAAACTTATAAAAACGCATGCTTTGCTTTGTATTGTGTTAGATCGTAGAATAACGCATTAAAAATGTATGCTTCACTTTGACGTCGACGGTTTGTTCCACAGCAGTGTGACCATATATTTTTTAGCGAATCTACTGTAAAATTGAAGAAAATCCACTAAAATCTACCAACATAGTAATAAGAAATTACTAAAAATCTACTTCACTGTTATTTGATTATCTAACTAGTAAAAGCCATAGATTAGGACAATATACGTTAATTGCATATTGATTAATATTTCAATTAACGGTTATAAAGTAAAAATAGATAATTAGAATAAAAATGTAGGAGCCAACATATTTTTTTGCGCCATCTATTAATGAGTACAAGTATTCGCGCCGTATTGCGCAGACCAAAATGGAGCTAATTTTAAAGAGGGGAATTTGAATTGATGTTTTTATGAATGTGTATACGAAATAAATAGATCAAATAATTGAAATTTAACCAAAAGTATATTCCGTTTAAAAACCATAACCATACATATAAACTAAAAATAACAAACAAATATAAAAATGCTAATAAAAGAATGCATAACTTTCAAACATAACGTAACTATATTATTCTATATTCCATATAATTCTATATTATTTAAGGTTATGTTATGTCATGTCAGCAAGTCACGGAACACGGTTCGGAAAATTGGTCATGGTCAAATAAAAGTCTAATGTGAATCTGTAGCACTCTGTATTCTGTGGTCAAAAGGTCAAAGCAAAGTCTAGCTTGTTCGCTTCGGATTTGGAGCGAGCGTACCACGCGCCGAAGCTGTGAACGGTGGTAACATGAAACAATAAATTAGCCGCTTGCTTGACTAGGTTGCGCAAAATATGACCAATCGCGGCACAAAAATGTTTACTATATATCTACTAAAATCTACTGTAGATTTTTTACCTACCAAAAATTTCTATATTTCGCTGAAAATCTACCGAAAAAGTAGAAATCTACTAAATATGGTCACGCTGTTCCACAGATTAGGTTTGTTCCTATTGACCCATAGTCAAAGAAAAACCTTAAAATCCAGAAACAGCTGATAGTGATCCATTTGATCTTAGATCATAGTTTCCGAAATTCCCGTGACGTCAATAGAAGCATAATCCAGGCCAATTCTCTCATTAAATGGAGATTTTGCATTTCAGATTTGATAATTTAACTAATTTAACAATACGTTGATATTTACATTTTTACATTTAAATTCAATGCCTGTACCACTCAAAAGGGATTTCTTTTTTAAAGTGCCGCCATCTAGTATCCTCATCCTTAAATTTGGAAATATTATTGTTACACAATATGCGAAAGAATATTTTTGTATTTGTCACTATATAAATTGAGACCAAATCAGCAATAATTTCAAATATCAAGCAGCCATTGACCAATAATTTATAATTTAGTAAGAAGTCCCATTGTTTATATATTTACAGGTAGACAACCAGTCCGACTTCGAGATAAAAACACTAGATGGCGACTCTCCCAAAACGCCCCTATTGCTTTATTTGCGCTAAAGTCCCTAGATATCGATAAAGTACCACAACAACTGGAATTTTGGGGCAAGATCCCTTTTGTCAACTTTCAAATATAGGTAGAGTTTCAACCTTTTATATAAAAAGCAGAAATTGACATCTAGTAAACCACCATTTTGGAGCAAACAAGAATAACTGATTGCAGTACTTAGTCAATCTAGGGACTTTATTTGTACTATAGAAATTTTTTGAGAGTGCCGCCATCTAGTATCTTCATTAGTAAGTTTGACCAGTATGTAAATATAGTCTCGTTTATCCCTACAGATTGGTCCTTCGTAACTGGATCCAATTTCGTTATCCCTAACTTTAACCAACCAAAACATTTATTTTGGCGAATTCTTACCTAATTTTTTTTCCATCCCAGATAGAGAATATTCTAGTTCGTCCGATTTAATTGCACCCTAGAATTTTTGAAAAGTAATAGCCACTAAACTTCCGAGTCAGATAGTCTATACGGACATTAATTGTTAAATCCATGACAAAATTGGAAATAAAAAAGAAATTAAATACTTGAATTATATTTATTGAATAAAAATTTCTCCATATTTCATATTCCTGACAATTTAAGTTTCTATTTAACACCTACCTCATAATTGAGGAGTATTCGTGCAATAACGACAAAATTTTTCCGTTATTAGTACAAATACGCCCATTTCTCTATAATTAATATCGGCAAATTTGAATATATTGCAACAAATTTCCAAAACCTTGAAAAAAAAATCAAGTCCTAACAAAGTGCGTAAAATATTATTTCCGTAAAATGCATAAAGGAAAACTCGTTAACAATTGCAGATTTTAATCCTGTAACATAACTAAAATAAACGTAATTTACACTCCAATTACAATAAGAAATACGTAGCCTTACATAATCCCGTACGGAATTATCTACGGTGTTTTCTCGGAGTGTGGTGGCGATTCTTAGACCTGCTTCGGGAGCTGCTGGACGATCTCCTCCTAGCTCTCGCCTTGGACCTGCTTCTGGACCTCCTCGATTTCTTTCTATAAAAAATTAAGAAAAATAATAAAAATAAATAAAAAATTAATAAAAAAAAAATTATAAAGAAATTTTACGGTATGATTTCTGTTTCCCTACCTTGACCTTCCGCTAGAACTATCGGAATAGCTGCTGCTGCTTGAGCTGGAGCTGTAACTCCTCTTCCTCTCGGACTCCTTCTTCCCGTCCAACTCTTGCAGGACCTTATAAGTTTTCAACAACTTCTCCTTCTCGATGGCCTCCCGCTTCGCTTTCTTGGCTTTCTCTAGCATCTCGCTCTCTTCCTTCGCTTTCCTCTGCCTCTCCTCAATCAACCGCTGGAAATAAATAATTTTAACAAAACAGTTTGCGCGCCATTCGATAACCTTACTTGCTCCTCCTCTTTCTTCTTCTTCAACTCCAGCAATTCCATTTTCTTCCTCAGTATCAGCAACTTCTTGTATTTTTCCTCGGCGTCCTTGTCCGCCTTGAGGATGTCTTTCTCTTTAACTTCGGGTTTCTTGGGGCTCTTCTCCGCAGACTTCGACTTAGACCTCTTCCTGGTCCTGTCCCTGCTTCGCGACTTCCTTGAATGGGAGTGGGACCTCCTACGCGTTCTCTCCTTCGATTTCGACCTTCTAGGGGACCTTCTCCTCCTTTCCCTATCGTTTAAAAAGTTGCAAAATTTTCGAAATATTTATCGACGCTTATATTTATGCCATGAAATTTTAATATTTTCCAACTAACGTTTTATAAGTGCGGCCCCTCATTTTCGATAGAATATTCAAGGTTGCCTTTAAAAAATTCAAGAAGTACATCGGGTTGAACGAGGAAGACCGGTAGCATGGCCACCAAGATCTCCAGACTTAAACCACCTTGACTTTTTTTTTTGTATATGCGGAGTGACCGTTAATCAAATAGTAGAGAAAACGTACCCGACCCAAAATTTTGTAACGCTGCCGATTCAAAAATAAGACCTACCTCATCGTCCTCTCCACTTTGTCCTTGTACACCCTATCCCTGTCCCTCCTCTCCATCTCCCTCCTAACGGGAAGAAAAGGCCGCCGATCGTTGAAGGGCCGCTTGTCGGGCCTGTGCCGGTTATCCTCGAACCTGCCGTTCCTGTACACCCGGGCGTCCCCCTGCGCGGGTTTCTCCGTCTCGAACTTATTGCGACCGCCCCTCTTCTCCTCCATATTACACACCAGCTGGGAGGGTATCTGGACGTTGTCCTGACCGGCCAGCTTGAGCAGCCTCATGTTGACCTCTTGATTTTTGTTGTCGAAGTGCTGCGGATAGCTGTTTTTGCGTTTCTGCTTGCTGAAGCCGCTCATCGTTATCTCGCCGGTGGGGGAGTCCTCGCCCGTTTTTATCTCCACGCCTGAGAAACGATAGTTTGAAATTCGGCGGATGGAACTTTTAACATATACAGGGTGTTTCACGAGTAACTGTACAAGTTCAAGGTTGAATATAATACAGAATGTTGACATTTTAAAATAATTTAACATTTTCTAAAATATCTCTGACGATACTTGGGAATCCCAGAAATTCTAGTGAATATTTTGGAAATTTGATCACTAAATTTCTAGGCGGTTTTTAAAAAAAAAACACATCTCTTTCATTTCACCGGAAAAACGGACAATTTTCGAGTTATTACTTTTTTTAATTTGCGTTACCGTTAAAGCAATTCAGTACGTTTAAAATAACTACAAAATTACTAATTTCACAAAAAAATAATTTTTTTGCTAGAGATGAGGTTTTAAGTGTGATTGTTTTAACACAAATGCTGAAAAAATTATAAAAAATTATACGAATCCGAGAGATTTGGAATATTTATCAAAACCATTTCAAGTTTTTAATAAAATGTATTCGTATTACGATTTTTTTTAAAGCACTGTGTTTGGTTTGTGACTCTCAATGTCAATGACCTTAGCCAGTAAACGGTTTCGGTGAATTATTTACACACTATACACCTTTTGTGATATAACAACATAATTCTAAGAGAACAAATGGCAATTAAGTTCAATTTTATAGTAAAATTTAGAATTTACCAAAGGAAACTGTCGGTTGTCGCTTACCCAGAGCCATAGCCAAGAAATCGGACCTCTTATTGATAGCGGCTACCTCCTGCTCCTGCTCCTTCTGGAGTTCCATCTCCTTCTGCACCTCCTCCACCGTCTTGAACTTGTTGTAAGCCCCGGGAAGCGGATACTGCACCAAACTCGGAACCTGCTTCTTCAGAAGCTCGTTCTCTTCCTCGCTGTGATCCTCGTAATCCAAAGCGTTGTAGTCCACGCCTTTTCCCTTCCCTTTAGGGGTCTGCGGAGAGGCCGACCTTTGTCTGTACCTCTCCTTGGACTTGTTCTTTTCCGAGTTCTCTTTGCCGTTGAGGTTCCTCTTCTCCTCGATGCGTCGACGTTGCTCCCCAAGCTTCTCGAAATCAGACAGTTTTATTATCCTGGATTCCTCCTTTTTCCAGTGGATGGGCGTGATGCTTCTAGATCGGCTCCGCGACGGTGTTCTGTACCGCTGAAGTATAAATATATGATTGTTTATACGCCAATACAGTCATTTCCGTAAGGTTTAAATTATTTTAAAAAAAGAATGTATAAAAATAATTGAAAATTTCCAGAAACGAAGGGAACACAACTGAAGCGTTGTTTCTTATAAAGAAAATAAAACGATGTGGATTACGTTACTTTAACACAATTTTTATTTGCCCTAAAAAGAAAGTGTATTTAATTTTTTTTAAGAAAACACCGTTTTAGATGTTTCAAAACAAAAACCCTCTATCGAACGTCACTGAAATATTCAAAAGAGAAGTAACCACAATAAAAACAAAAATCGCTAACTTTTTACGACAACAAAATTGCAGGACAACAAATTATTTTGTTTTCATTCCGAGAAAATAAACGATGAATGCTCCACTCGTTTTGAGATGCCCTGTATATATGATCAAAATGTACTTACAAATTTTCCACGCCCTTTAATCGTTCTCCCGCTTTTCGTCGTCATGGGCCTTCCCCGTCTGTTATATCCGTTACCCCAATCTCGCCTGCCTCTATCTCTGTTGTCGCGAAAACCTGCGTCTCTTCCGGAATCTAAAAAACAGAGACATACAAAATTATGAACGACACGAAATTCTTACACTAAACCTTTTCTATCGCTTCTTTTATCTGCGTCCTTTCTGCTGTCACCGCCTCTCATTAAAAACTTATTTACAGGTACGTCGGGTATATCCTCCGGGTTTATATCGGTCACGGTTACCAAAGGATGGGGTTCCACCACTTCCCCTTCCTCTTCCGTGTGATGATCGACGTCTTTGCTAAAAAATAAAAAACTGTAATAGGCAAACACAATTTTTTATAAGTCGAGGGTGTACCTGTGTTTTTTATCTTTTTTGTCCCTTTTCTTCTCTTTCTTGTGCTTCTTCTTATGCTTCTTTTCCTCTTCCACGTCCGACTTCTCCTCGGTTTCCTCTTTTTGCTTCTTTTCCTTTTTAGCTAAAATTTTAACAAACCCATAATATTCCCGAGAATAATAAATCGAGTTGAAATTTTCTGTATGTAAAAATCAAATTTTTATTATTACCTTTTACTTGTTTAACAAGTTCCCCGCACTTGATGATTTTCGCGTCCTGCAGGGGTCTACTGTTAGCGTCCACTGGCAGGGCTTCGACTTGTCTCACAACGTCAATACCACCGATAACTCTTCCAAAAACCACATGAACACTGAAACCGACAAGTTAAAAAGCGAATCGAATCGTAACTACTCAACTTACTTGTCGAGGTGTGGGGCCGGTTGAGTCGTACTATAACACAAAAATTGACAAGATATGATCAGCGTAGCCAGGTTTGAGTTGCAGAGGAACCGCTACAGAACAACAAAAGTTACTGTTCTGTAACATCTACTTAACTTTTGCCGACATTTTTTTATAAACAAAGACATAAAATTAGTACCAATAACAATTTGTAAAGGTTAACAAATTGATATTGCAATGAAATACGGGGCGCTGAAAGAGATATATTAAAGATATTCTAACAGTTACATGTACAGCTTGATATCTTACAAATTCAGTCACTTCATTGCTACTCACATAAAGAACTGCGAACCGTTGGTGTCTTTTCCACGATTCGCCATCGACAGAAGGAATGGTTTATCGTGCTTAAGGTCAAAGTTTTCATCTAGAAATAATTTTAAACTTGATTAGTTACACCAGATTCAGTGCAAAGTACATACCTTCAAAAATTCCTCCATATATACTTTCTCCTCCCGTCCCATTGCCGTTTGAAAAATCACCACCTTGTATTATAAAGTCTTTTACTACACGATGAAAAATTACCCCCTACGAGTTTAATAAATCATCGTCAGTTTACAATAATTCAAATGCTGAAACTAGTAAGACTAAAGCTACAAACCTTATAGTGTAGTGGCTTTTTTGTCTGCTCTCCGAGACCTTTCTCACCAGTACAGAGAGCTCTAAAATTCTCACAAGACTTAGGAGCTACGTCTGTAAATAATTCAAATACAATTCTCCCACTACCTAATCCACCAATAGATACGTCAAAAAAACATCTGGGCCGCTGCACAACACCCTCTGATTGTGCCTCTTCATCCGCCATCTAAAAAAAAACATTCGCACAATTTGCATCGACATATGTACCTTGAAAGATGATGTTTGTACATCACTTTTAACTTGCCGTTTTGTAAAGTAATCCAGCCCAGCACTATTCAAAATCTATTTCTATTACACAAAAAACGTAAAATATGGCGTCACTCACACGTACAAAAGCAAATGCCATTAATCAGTGTTCCCAAAAATTAAATTTTTTTATCATAAAGTGTTGCCAACACACGATGGAAACGTAACCCATCACCATTGACTATTGAATTTAAACATTCGGAGTCTATAAAAGCTCAGCTATTCAGATTACTGATTGACTAATTACAGCTATACAGCAATAAATTTAATGCCCGTATTAGAGGTTTGAAAATTAATGATAGTGATAGTGAACCTAGATCTCTTTAGTGACGTTGGTAGTGATCTACATAAATCTGACTTTCTCTCTCTAAAGCTCTAAGAATAACAAGGACAAATAATTAATTTGAACTTACAGAGTGGAACTTCTGTAAACGCTGTTTTGTGACCAACTAAAATCTATGATGAACATGAACCTTCTATCCACAGAAAAGCATTAATTTTCAATCAAAACTTCCATCTTCAATGAAGTTTGAAGATTAGTTATAAAATTAGGTTATATTCTATTATAGGTTATTAGTAGAGCAACCCTCTGTTTTCTCTGTTATTAGGTCGAAGTTTATTCAAAATTTGAGACGTTTTTCTGTGATAATGATCAAGTAGGTTTTGAGTTTTGATTAGAAAGAAAGTCAAAGTGAGCTTTAAGACAATTGTTTTATTTTTTGAAGTCTTAAAAATATTTTGTCAAATATAAAGTAATGAATGTCTTATATTTAAATATCCCTAGTCGTTTTAGATTTTTTTCTCATTCCAACACCAGCACGAATATAAAGCTGTAAAGTCTATTATTTTCTTTCATCTCTAGTCTAATCCTTTCATTTTTATTTTAGATTTGCAGTTAAAGTTGGGTTAGCCACTGCCGCAGTCTATTATGTTAAAGAGCAAGGAGTTTGGAAGAACAGCAATGAATCAATAAAAACTTACGAAAAGTTGAAGGAAACAGCAAAACCTTACGTACAAGATTTAAAGGCGCAGCTACCCGTAGAGGTTAGAATTATGTAACATCAAAATTGCCTACACAAAATAGCCTATTTGTTTTGTATATGTTATTATGAGTCTTGTAACAAACTTAATTTCACTGGTTCGTTTGTTTGCAGTTACCTGAATTGCCTGAAACTGAGAGACTATCGTCTCTAGCAAAACGAAGTTGGAACAAAGGAGTTATGGTCACTTTTAAATACATTAGTCAATTTCCGAATACAGTAAGCAACTGGACTAACAAAGGTATTCAGAAAGCATTGGAAAACGAGGACATAAAAAATTTTGTTAATTCGTTTTCCTCCGCGAAGCCTGTAGAACAGAAGTAGCTTTTTTAAATGTCTAGATATGTATATGTTGTAATGTATTTATTCAGTCCAAAATCTTAATATACAGTACAGTAAAAATTGTAATTCATATACTGAGTTATCCCTATCCCCTGTTGGAAAATGTGCAGTAAGTGTTGAAATATTAATTTAGAGTAGTGGTTGTCGAGTTTGACAGTTATGACATGTATGCGCATATAATTAAAAATAATAAAAAGCGTTGCTTTACCTGCTGAATCATTATTTAATTGCAAAAGTAAGTGGACGAATCTTATAAGCAAATTTACATTTCAAATTTTTTAATTTACACCATAGACCTGATAAACCATTGGACTCAACTGTCATCAAGTAAATGGCAATCGCACAGACGTGTGCGAGAGAGATAGAGCTAGTGCGGGCTAATGCTTCGTTCACAAAACCTTGACTGCAGCGCGTTAAGCTTAACTCGATCAATCAGCTACCTATACTCGATTCCTTACCCCTTTTTTTACCTCTCTTTCCAGAGCCAATCCATAGTTTACTAGATCTATGGCGAATGCAGACCTACTTGCCTTTATAAATGTTTTTAATTTGCTCATACATTTGTCAAAAATAAATAGTCGCCGAAAAAAAGTCGTGTACTTTCAATTGGGTGAATAAAATATAAAAAATTACACCAATCATATGCCTGTGAAACAGAATTTTTTTTAATATTGCCAACGCGAAAATAAAATTACTGGTCGTGTGGTTTGTAATCATTTACTTTTCTATTCAATATTCAATTTAAATATGGATTATTAAAACTTCTAAAAAAGAAATAGTGGTTGATGAAAAGGGGCACCTTAAAGAATAAAACAACAATTATTTCAAAATACCAAACATTTTATTCGTCACTTTACAGTGATCTAAATTTAGTACAATGTTATATATCTTAAATATTTCATCTATTAAAAAAAATTAACAATCTTTACCTAGAAATAAAAATAGTAAAGATTAAAAAAAAATGGTGTGAAGATAACGGAAAACATAAGTTAATGAATTTAAATTGGTGAAATATTAAGAAAAACCCAAAGCAAAATTTAGTGTCCACTGAAAAAATTATAAAAATATGATACACCGAAAGGAAAATAGTGTTATGCAATTGTTTTAGACGAGGCGTGCCGAAACGTGATTGTCTAAAAAATTTTCTTTCAGAAAAGAAACCCGAGTCGTGTTTTACATAAAAAAAAAAACATAAAAAGAGTGTTACAATAAAGAGGACAAGCATTTAAAAAATATTTCAGGGAGGGAGAGAAACTGAAGAGCGAATTCATTTAAGCTGCGGCTTCAACTTCCATCGGTTGGGGCTCGACGTTGCTCTCGGACTTCTTTTTTTTCTTCTTGGCCGCCTTCGGGTTGGCGGAGCTGTTCAGGATCGACTTCAGATCGGGATCGGTGATGGAGTATTCGGATTGGTAGAGCTCCGGCTCCAAAGGCAGACCCGTTATTTTGTGTGGACCGTTCGGCATCAGCAATACTGTGAACTTATATTGGGCTACGAACTCTCCTAAAATGACATAAAAATGTATATCAGCACACACACGATTATCTAAATGAGACTCGTCTGTAGTACTAATGTCAGATATTAATTTTCTGTTCATGATTTTCAGAGGGATCAATTGGAGAAAACTGGTAATCATCATTTAAAAGCGCAATTAAAAGCAAATTTAAATTTAGCTGTAAAGAAAACACACGTGATGAAAAAATGTAACAATAGCAACTTCTACTCCATAAGAAAACATATATAGGTATTCAATTCTCGAAACCGAGAGAGTTGCACTAACCAAATTTCGACAGGATCATAGCTAATACAATGCGAAACATCGCCTTAATGATAAAAATGTTGTCACCGCCCTTCTTGGTGGTCAAAATTCAAAATATTTGGAATTATTCAATTTTCGTGGATATGGAGTTAGTTTTTCGATATATTCAACGGTTAAAAAGATACGGAGTGTTTTTGTTTTATTTTTCGGCATAGAAGGGTGCGGTTTGGTTTGCTGGAATCTTCAAACGAAATGCTAGAGGGACGCCAGAGTTACTTTTTCGATATTTTCAACGGTTAAAAAGATACGGAGGGGCTTTGTTAGGTCGTGTTTTAAGTTACGTGACTTTTGAAATTGGCAAACAGCCCGTAAAATTTTTATTTTTCGACCTAGAAGGGTGCGGTTTGGTTTGCTGGAATCCTCGAACGAAATGCTAGAGGGACGCCAGAGTTAGTTCTTCGATATTTTCAACGGTTAAAAAGATATAGAGGAGCTTTGTTTTTACCAATTGGATTTCTAATTGGATTTCCAATTGGCTTTCCAGTTGGATTTCCAATCTCCATTTCGTGGCTGAAAACATATTATTCAATTCTCGAAACCGAGAGAATTGCACTAACCAAATTTGGACAGGATCATAGCTAATACAATGCGAAACATCGCCTTAATGATAAAAATGTTGTCACCGCCCTTCTTGGTGGTCAAAATTCGAAATATTTGGAATTATTCAATTTTCTTGGATATGGAGTTAGTTTTTCAATATTTTCAATGGTTGAAAAGATACAGGAGGGGCTTTCTTAGGTCACGTTTTAAGTCACGTGATTTTTGAAATTGGCGAACAGCCCATAATTTTTTTATTTTTCGACCTAGAAGGGTACGGTTTGGTTTGCTGGAATTCTCGAACGAAATGCCAGAGAGACGCCAGAGTTACTTTTTCGATATTTTCAACGGTTAAAAAGATACGGAGTGGTTTTGTTAGGTCACGTTTTAAGTCACGTGACTTTTGAAATTGGCAAACAGCCCGTAAAATTTTTATTTTCGACATAGAAGGGTGCGGTTTGGTTTGCTGGAATCTTCAAAAGAAATGCTAGAAGGACGCCAGAGTTACTTTTTCGATATTTTCAACGGTTAAAAAGATACAAAGGGGCTTTGTTAGGTCACGTTTTAAGTCACGTGACTTTTGAAATTGGCGAACAACCCATAAAATTTTTATCTTTCGACCTAGAAGGGTATACTGTGTTAAAAGGCAATGTAGTTGGACACCTGGCAAAAAAAAAGAAATGGACACATGACCTTTCACATTTGAATTGAACTGAATTTTTTACATAAATGTGCTGGCATGAAATGAGTGAGCAAAATTTCTACCGAGTACATTAAACAATGGGGTTGTCCGTATTCTTCAAGTGATTTCTAGATAACTGAAAAATATTGCGTTGGAAGATACGATCCTATTAATTTAAAAAACTAGGACAAACGTCACTGATTATTTTCAAATTTATTAGTTCAACTGAAAAGAGTAAACAATGATAAGATAAATACGATGTTCTATTTCTACCTTGACAAGACAAATATCTTTTGGTCACGTCTACTCGTATATTACCTTTATAGACACATGTCAACATTAAACATCCCTAATTTTATAGTATTCCGTAAATAAAGTTTAATTCTGATAAAATTCGGTGAATAAAATGAGGTAAAAGCATTCAATCGACATATTTTTGATTACCCACCTGGTTTTTCATAGAGCACTTGGAAAGGCTCGATTAGTTTGTTCTTCACGCACTCCACGACGCCCATCTTGGCCTTGGTCTCGTCCTGGAAACCCCTCAAATTAAAAGGCATGTTGCCGTGCTTCGTTCTGACTTCAGTGTAAAACATCCTGGATGCCTTCAACTTCAACTGATAGATCTCGTCAGTTTTCTTGTAAATAGCCACCCTGGTGTCGGTTTCCTTCCCCACGCCTTCCCCCGTACTGATCAGAACGTCCATGGCATAGACTTCGTGCTTGTCGAGCTCGAATTTTTCATGTTCTTTCTTTTGGGCGTCGTTCGGATTCTGTATTATCGTCTTTTCGCCGTCTATTTTGAATTGCTTCAGCTGATGACTCAACATACCTAAAAATTTATTCCGGTCCTCAAATTTATTCTTCTAGAATGTAAATTTTTTTAAAATTAGAACGGTTTCAGATTAAAAGTTTTCTGATCATTGAAGTCAGCTGGATCAATTGGAGTTATTAAAATCATCATGGAAAATAGTGAAATAGCTACACCGGAAAGTTTTTAGACCTTACCTTCAACCGGTTTACATTTAAACGACTCTGCGACTTTTTGTACTGCATCGGTTATTGCATAGGTTTCATTCCCAGGTTTTAATAACCTTAAAGCAGCTTGTGAAGCGAAGTGAGCTGCTAGGATAGCATCGGCCTTCCTGCCAGTCACTTTATTTTCACTAGATGCGCCTATCACAATTGTATGCGCTACGACAGCGATGAATCCGTCTATGTGGACTCCCAAATCACTTAAAGTAATAAAATGGATGTATATTTATGTCAGTGCCTATTAAAGAAGATATAAACTTACACTTTAACAACATCCTCATCCTTAAGTGTGTAATCTGGTTCACTAGGGACAGGGGAGAAGTGACATATACAGTTGTTAACAGACACACATGTGGGGAAGGCGATACCCTTTTTAAGTTCCTTTTCCTTCTTGAAAACCTTACTTGTTTCTTCCGTCAACAGTTGGTCTCCAAACTCACAGATTTCTCTAACTGAAGCACCAGCCACACATTTGTCTATAACTTGTTTTAGCACTCCTACAAACAATGGTGCAATTTGACAAAAACAATGCCATAACAGGAAGTAAGAAAATCTACCAAATACGCGATTTTGGGAATAGTTTACTTCTCGCTATTTGTTCTTTGCAGAAAAAAGACAATGTAATTTTTGTGATTTTGCAGTAATTACGGACAAGAATCTTAAAACCATGTGGTTTGCACCACCGGGAGCCACGCTCCATATGGCTTGAGACTGTTTCAACTATTACAAAACTTAATTAAACAACGTAACACAAAAAATCTTGAATATTTCGAAAGTGTACACCTCAAGGTGCATTAACTCACTGTTAACAATTTCTCCTGCCATTTTATATTTGGTAACAACCAAATCTTCGGCAATCGTTTTCTCCACCACATCTTTATCGTCCGCCATTGTTCCACAACTAACGTCACGTGACCTAGGAAGCGCGAAATTTCAGTTCTTGGCGGCAATTTCAAATTATCAGACCAGTTTGTTACCGATTATAATTTGCATACTGCTCATTATTCAGAATTGTTTGTCCTGATATCGTACAAAATAAATATGTAACCGAAAACACTTTGAAATGCAGTTAAAAAAAAATATAAAATGTAGTTCATTTTATATATAGTCAATGTGATTACTTGAATTATTATTATATCAAAAATAAGTTGACCATGACATTTCCAGCAGTTTCCTACATGATATACATTTTACAAACTATCTGGAAAGCTAAATACAATAGGAATACAATTTTGTAAAGCCTTTAATGTTTTATGCTCTATGACAAGAACAAAAATTGCACTGCCACACTGTGCTACTGTATGTATTAATCTGTGTTGTACATAGAATTCACCAAGCATTTTAGTCACACCCTGTGCATTACACAGGGCCAAATAAATGGACATACAGAAATGTTTCGAACACTGATAATTTCTTTTTATAATAAAAATGATCGGTTTTATAAATAATTTATTAAAAAAATAAAACAAAACAAATAGACTGTGTTTAATTCATCTCAACATCGTTGCTCAAATATTTCAACTTAATTACTAAAGTACTTGGCGACGTAACATCTGCGACTAAAATATCTTGTCCGTCTTTAAGACCTAACTCGACGAGGGTTTTATTTAAGTTCGCTCTCGTCCTCTCCTCTATACTCTTAATTGTCGACATGTACAAAGTTTTATTTTTGCCATCGATTAATGTAGTAAGGCCTGGACTCTTCATCTGGTAAGCCGCACTTTCAGACAATACTTCTAATAACTGCTTAAGTTTCATAGTGTATGGATCCTTTATTTCTATAATTTGAGGCCTCTGAGAACAAACTAAACAATTGTCCTTTTTCTCGGCTTCGTAAGTATATGTATAAATGCCGTCTACATCATTAAATACCATATAATTGTTTAACGGAACACAGCAACTGGTAGCGATTTTAAAAACCTGCAATAATAAAAATTATTTCAACTGCGAAAAAAAAAATAAGATAACAGACCTCTGTGGCACATACACCTGCTATTATTGCATTCGTTGAAGCGACGGCTGGAATAATGTGTTTGACAACTCCTTGTACCAAGCGATATGTCACTCCGGGGATATTAAACTGTAGAGCCCTTTCCATTGACTTTTCATAGACCCAAGTTATATGCTGAGAATCGTCCCCATCTAATTCCGCATTAAATGGATTTTCCTTTGGCCACAAAATCACTTTGACATATTCAATGCAGTGCTCCGGCAATCTCGGGGTGTTCGCTATGGTGCACAGTGGATAGTTCACCTGTGGTGGGTACAAATCCAACGTACACTCAACACAGGCGCTCATTCCCGGCAGAATAACACGAGCATTTCCTTTAAAGCCCTCCGTACCTGAAATTAATTTTATTTAAAAAATTGTAATAATGGCGTTGTCTCCTACCTCCGTCCACCAAAGGTATGATTGTTTGTTGATCTAACATTTCATCCTCATAGTTCAACATGGAAATTAGCATACCATTTATCCACCTCCTGGATACAATTGAATCTAACCCGCATACAATTATATGGAACTGTTTATAAAAAGATTCATCGTAATCCTGTATTTTACAGAAATGGGGTGTAACCTGACAGCCAGCTACTCTCTTATTAATAAAAGCAGCTGCGACTTCAGCTTTCGAAGAACCTATATCTTTGTGTCTAAAGAGGAACTGTCGATTTAAATTCGATAAGTCTATTGTGTCCATATCTATTACGTCTATTTGTTTAAAGCCCATTAACGCTAAATCTTTTAACAATTCACATCCTAGGCCTCCAGCCCCAACCACCAGAAGTTTACAAGATGTCATAATAAAATCTAAAATTTCCGAGGATGGTTCGAACTCTGGATGACTGAATGGCCCTGGACGTTCAAGTACTTTCCTTAGGTGGCCCCAACGTTTTTGATTTGATTCCTGACTATCTCCCATCTTTTAATATTAAATAATTAACCGGTTTCTGAAAAATTAAATTATCACATAACCTTAAAATGACATTTGTCTTAAATAGACTGTGATGATGGCCCACAGACTCATTGATAAAAATTATATATTCTATGGATAGTTGAGTTCAGAATAAATTAATAGTAACGAGCATATGTTAAAATAAATAAAACAATGGTCTTTCTATAATATAATATTTGCGGAATTCGAGAGGGAAAGTACCGAAGTATAATACAAATAACTGTCATTCTATGAGCGTTCTGATTGTGACAGAATTGTCCCAAATGTTTTTATGTAATTTAAATAAATGGTTTTATTTTTTATTTGGTTGTTCTAAGTGCAGTACTTCTTTAATTTGTTCGATTAAAATGTTACTCCAATTTAAATATATGGGATGGGCAGACTGGGAGGTTTAATTCAGATTCTGAACGCAGCCTTAATCAAGTACATGAAGTGACTCCAGTACCAGCTTCATATTATCATATCAGAATAACACATTACGTAATTCCAGCATCTGATCCTGCAAAATAATTTCTCAAATATTCTATTTTCAAATAGCTATATCGAAGTTAATGTAATGAAAATATTGTTGATTTAAATAAAGAAAACATTAGACAGTTCAGCTCGCGTGGTTAGAGACACTGCTTGTCAACGATCGAAGAAAAACAAATGATTGACGGATTATCACAGAGAAGACAAAGCGGGCTGTGAGTAAATGAATACAGTGCGGTCGTATTAATTACCAAACTAAACGGAACTTTAGTGCGTCTATTATGATTAATGAAAAAGAAGCAATTAAAGAAAATTTGTCGCCCCATAAAATCGGAGAGAAGTTGAAGAACGTAATAGACAACAGATCTTGCACAAAGCCAGTCACTAGGGTAAGTAATGTTTTACTTATGAAGTTATCATTTCCTAGATCTGTTATTTTGAATTAACTAGACTACTTAAAGGTTGACAGAGTATTTGCGTTTTTTAATTGATTATTGCAAATTTCTTCAATGTTTCATTTAGGCATGTAATTATATATTTTAATCTAGATATGATCCTTATCTAATTAAAAGTATAGAATAAATAGAATGATTTACAATAAATACCTAGTAGGCAGTGTATTTAAGTAGATAAGTAGGGATTTCAAATATCTAGTAATAATTTTGGAAAAGAACATTTCTAAATATTTTTTTTGTAAATGGTTATCAAATATTTTTTTTAATTGAAGCACCAATAAGACAATTTAGACATAATCCCTCTTTCCAATGTGTCTAGTTGTTTTCGATAGAAGAGAAATTTTATACATTTAATTTTACCTCAGTTTTAAATCATTTAGTAAAGTTTCCCCACTTTTGTAGTGTGTATACGCCACTGGGTTTGAATTATTTGACTATAAATACTTAAATTTGCAAAATTAGAGCTATGTATCGCAAAATTATATATTTTATACAACAAATCAATATGATTCTTACAGACGTGTAGCAATATTCCTTATTTTCCTAAATTATTTTCTACGAGGTTCTTGAAAAACCTTTAAATTTTACGTCAACAACTCTTAAGATTTTTATGTTTTTATTATATTGCGGTATTGGGTATTATAGAAAAAATAACACCTATTTTTGAAATAATTCCTTTACCTACAATTTGCCTATTATAAATAGGTATGATTTAGAAAAGTATTGGGAATATTACCACAATATAGCATTAAATCAATACGCAGGTAGGTTTTAGGGTCAACTGTGAAAAGGCATTTCTGTTATTATTTTATAAATGGTCATATTTTACTGTGGTTGTAAATGCCATGACTTATTGTGTAGCATTTCAAAAGTCGTCAGACCGTCTGTCTTGAACATCAAAGAAATATATTAAACTAAAACTATAATTATGTCGGTCATTACCATTATTCATTTCAATTTTGTCGTTTCTATGACTATTTTATTGTCAACGCTAAACGACTTTCGACTCTCCTATTGTAAATGTTATTTTTATTACACATTTATGTCGATCTTAAAATATTTCTTCTTTGGTTGTAAATGATGGTCGATCGAATTGAATAATATTTCACTCTTAATAAATTTACTCCTGCCTTATTTTTAGCTGTTACTGGACGAAAATGTAAGCCATATTCTATATACGATACATTAAGTAGCCAGTTCTAGTTAGTCATTTTATAGAGTAGGTATATACGAATATTTTTTTAGATGTCATCGAACATACCTACCCCAAAAGTAATTTAGATTTAAAACGAATCAAGGTAGCGATATTTATGATAGAAAGTAAATCTGAGAGTAATCAATTATATTGAGATTACTATTAAAAAGTAATGATTAACGCCCGATTTGATGTAAATCATAAATGGATAAGAGGGGAGACTTAATTGTAGTAATAACCAGTAAGAATGCGATTAATGTAATCAGATTTATTGTAACTTTTGCTTAAGGTATTAATTCTAGTGCATTGATAATTAATGTTTATTTTATTTTATTTTAATTGCAGCCATTAAAAAAACTGCCTGGTTTCCTTGCTGCTTAATGCTAGCCAATTTTTTTCCAGGAATCGTCTGTAATTCATAACAATTTGCAAGAGATGGCGGGCAACTATTTACAATTACGAAATAATTAAACGCTTTGCAAAGTGTCATTAACCCACATACTTCTAGAAGTATGTGCATTAACCTTGCCCGATGACATCGTCGCGTTTTCATATCTGTCTTATTCCAACTGTCAGTGTAGAATCTCAATGAGAAATTCTGATACCGAATGAAATTTATTTCTACAACTTACTTTAATTATTGTGAGTGCGGAATATTTTTTTTAGGCCATAGAGCGTCTATGGGTGAAGTGAAATTTGAGCTACTATTTTCAAGATCGATATTAATGCTCGATCGGAATTATTTTATTAGAAATTTTAATAAATTAGTACCAACCGCAGATGGCCAGTTTCAAGTGGCGTAATTCTAGAGAGTTAAAAAAATTGATGAGGCGAGGAAGAAAGTTTCCCGTATAATTGAAAAATATAAAACTCGTTAAGAAAAAAGTAAACCAATAAATATTTCTAATAGAAATTAAAAACTAAACCATGTGACTGACATCAACATAATATAATTATTGTTTCTACATAGTGCAAAAACAACTGAATAAACAATGTAAATAGTAAATTACTTATTATTTAATTTAATTTTTGGTTGTGTGGGCAGCTTTCATCGCCGTAGTCATTGTTGAGTTTATTCACTTTTTTTAAGTACTTTAATAAATTCCCCCGGGTAAATAACGCTAATTACAATAATGAGTATGTAATTATCTTTTCCATGTGGGCGTTTTTTTAACAAGTCGTATCAGAACTGAGGCGCAGTTACGTGTACAGGGTGATTAAGTCTTGTCGTTCACATTTTTCGGAAAGCCCTTGGAAATGTTGTTTTCTACACGAACTGAGGCGAATGTATATTTTTCTTTGTTTCACGAAAATTCCATGACTCTAAGAACAGTATAGAGAAATCTCTAAGCTTCTAAGAACATGAAATAAACAAACAAAGCACACTAGAGCGAATTTCGCTACAATATTCAAAAAATATTAATTTGAGATTTTATTTCGGATAATTATTTATTAACTGTTTAATATCTCGCAAGAAAAAGTATCGATATTAGTCTAGTTTTGCCGGTGTCTCAATTTCTGTCGCTTTGTATTTTGTTTGTCCGACGGACTGTAACTAACAATGCCGCTAGTCCTGATTAATAATTCTCTTCTAATAAACCATTCATTTTTTCACTAGGTTTCTAAACAATGCTAGATTCACGGATACAAAGCAAAATTAACACCACCGTTATGAAATTTAAAACGATCTGGTTTATATAACGGATCCTTTTCGAGTTTCCTTGGGAACATAGAAATAAATCAAACACCAGCGACATAAAAATTCGTTTATGTAATTCATAAGGAGAAAGTCCTCTAAAATTACGAGTATGTAACCGAGTTATTCATACGATTCGCTGGGATGTCAAAAATGCTAATCCTTTCATGGTAGAAGTGAAATGTTCCAAGCGTAACTATTGTGCGTTCGTCTAGGCCAGATTTCGTCATGTTTTGTGTTTTGGAATGGTACAAACCAGCGCTGGTAACGAAGGGCGCTTCTAATAGATTAGCCAGAGGAAGAGGCACACGAAAGATCTTTATCTAACCGGACGCATAGGTAGTTTCCGCAGGTACAGGGAATTGAACATGAATTTTAAAAAATCGGAATTCGTTAAAAACTGGTCATCGTACAGTTTTTCCTAAAACTGGATTCAAAGGGTTCTACGACCCTTCGGAAGATTATACGGTATTTTTCAGTCACTCAAAAACCACTGAATATACAGGGTGGGACTTTAAGTGAAATTATTTTTTTAATCAAATAGTCGACTCGTTTTTTAAACTTCTTTATAAATCTGACAAAACTAAAGGCGTCGTAGACTTTTTTAGTAGTGACGTTGCATACGCCAAACACATCGTCAAGAATAATCTCTCAGTATTTTTTTATTTTTTAGTCTGTTTAGAAATGAAAGAGAGTAATAAAAGCTCATTATGTATGCAAATCGTAAATAAATGTAGTACTGGTGATTATATTCAATATTTTTATATTATCCATTTTCGGTATAGATGAGGTCTGCTTTTAACAAAACTTTGTGCGATCGGACTGTACTAAATTGTAGCAGGTAGCTAAAATTTAATCCCCGACAATCCGTCTTTGTCTATGTCATTTCAAAACATGAGGCTACTTTAAGCATCATAACCGGGTTAAGAGGGTTTTTAGTAATTCAAATAAAATTATTCAATATTATTATCAAAATATTTATTTAAATTTAATGAATAGACTTTTATTCCACACAAAAATATATGTATTTTGAAAATTCAAATTATGGTGAGTAAATGTAGTGTTGTATAAATGTACAATAAAGAAAATAAAAAAGTAGGTATATTAAAATTCATCCTCTGAATATTCTGATGAATTATCTTCGTCTCCTAGATTGATAACGATAGGTTCCACAGTAACGTCAATTAAATTATCGAGTTCCCACATTTTCTCCTCTTCTTTTTGTACATGATGTATACATCTTTGCCAGTTATCTGCAGTTACTCGTTCCAAGGAATTTTTTAACAAAATTTTCACGTCACTTAATTTAAACGTCGTATTATTTCGCGCTACATCTCCTTTTACCTGCGCCCAGACTAATTCGATTGGGTTAAGTTCACAGTGATAAGGTGGTAACCGTAGTACCGTTATTTGGCGATTTGTTGCCATTTCATCGATAACATATTTTTTCTGATCTTTATTAAGATTGACAAGTGTCAAAAGTTCCTTTTTCACCATATTTGTTTCAAAAGAAATGTTTTTTCCGGATAACCATTGAATTATATCGGCTTTCCTCCAAGCAGTCGTAGGCGTCCGCTCGGTCTGCCGTGAATGGTAACTGGCATTATCCATGACAATTACAGACCCCGGAGGAATAAGATCCAACATCTGTGTAAAATACTCTTCGAAAACATCTGCGTTCATGTCTTCGTGATAGTCACCTGTATTTTTAGATTCAAATAAAAGTAAACCGCCATCTACAAAACCACTGGCACTACCTATATGTGTCACTATTAATCTTCGCCCTTTACCTGAAGGTGCCTTGAACCCTGTTGAAAGTCCATCCAAAAATGCTTGTCGAAAACTTTTTACATTTTTATCTTGCCATACTTTTGTTACAGTATATCCCTCGTTGACCCAAGTTTCGTCTAGATAATAAATATTCCTCCCTTCGTCACGGAATTTTCTAATTGATCTTAAGTAGGATCTTCGCCAACAAATAATTTCATCTTTATCGATAAGAACTGACTTCCTGTTCTGCTTTTCCCAGCAAAAATTCAACTCTCGTAAGACGGCCCATAATTTGCTTCTACTGATTTTTGGCAAATCGTTGTCCTCTGAAAGTTCACTTAAAATTTTGTTTAGCGTTGGTATTTCTTTTTTAAAATAAAATGAGTGTACTTTTCTGCGAATGACATTTTTGAAGAAATCATCTATAACGACTTTTGACCTCCCTGTAGATGATTTTGGGGGATTTACAGTATCTTGTTCATTTTTTGTTTCCTTTAAAAGTCTGTAGATAGTCGATTTTCCAATCCCTGTCATTTTGGAACACTTTTCCACGATGTCGTCAACACTGTTGGTAGGATTTTGGTGTTTCAATGCATTAAATACATTTAATATAATAATCTTCTCATTCTGAGACAGCGCACATCTTTTCACGCGTTTAGCAGGTACGTAATCTGATAAGCTCGACATTTTACCCAAACAATATTATATCCACTGGCACAATAGTCACTAAACACAAGTCGAATTTTACTCTACTGCACTAGCACGTCTTCGTATATTCAGCTCTAAGACTGGATTGATCTGTCACAATACACTGGCTCCTGCCCTATGATGTATCCAGTAAAATATACTAATATTAGCACGCCCATGGCCGGTTCTTATCTCGGGGTTTTATTACTCTCTTTCATTTCCAAACAGACTGTAGATCGATTTTCGACCTTACGTACTTTGGACATAAGTGCCAAAAAAATATTTGTCATGGCCTTAAATATTGCGGTATTCTGGTAATATCAGAAATGTTTAACAAATTAACAAAAGTTACTGCACTTTTATAACTTTAACATATGTTACACTTGCGCGTGATCGTGAATAAATTGTTTAAATTAATGCATTATTTTAATTTCTGGATTTTGAAAGCGACTGTGTATTATTTCATTCACTCCGTTAGGAAAGGATAGATAAACCATATTGCAAGAGCAACAACAGATAGACGAAGCGTGCTTTCAATATAGTGTGGGGTCGAGTGGGGCAGTATAAGGATTTTATTTTTTTATATTTATATAAACGTTTTAGGGATCTGCTAAAAAAATAAGACATACATTCATAAAGGAAACAATTCAGTTGGACATACGGGACATGATTAACTTTACGTTTCGTGTAAATAATTGTTGGAAAATGAAGTCCATGCTCGTTTTGTTTGATTAACTGTCAAACTACTATTTTTTTGCTAATACCAATAACAACAAATTCGGTATAGAATGTGAGGAAAAGGTATTTTTTTTTTCTAAATCGTAATAAAAATTAATTGCGTTAAAATATCGAATTAAACAAAATTTATTTTATTGTTCTATTATTATTTAGGGTGTTTCAGAAATCGGCCAATGCTCGGGGGCAGATTCCTAACCTCTTGGATTTATGAAAGAAAAAATTGGTTCTCCGTTGAATCTCTAACTTAAGGAGATATATCGGGTTTATTTAAATGCACATATGTACTTTAAATTTGTATAGCTTATTAGCCAGTGCTCCCTCTGTGCGTCATATTTTTTTGATTTTTTTTTTTGAATCTAGATTTTGAGATATTGTTGTTGAAAGTTGTTCATTTCAACTTAGGTTTATATGGCGAAGATGGACGGTGCAGCTCTTTTTTTGCCCATAACTGAGAAAAAAATGTATAAATTGTGAAACAAAACTTTTCCATAGATAGTACACAGTATTATTTTATTTTTGATGTAAAACTAATGTAAGTTTTGAACATAGTACAGCTGTATTAATTAGAAACAGAAACCAATAATTGCGTTTCTGTCTGACTTGAGGATTAATGTGGCAACGTTGCAACCAGCTGACAGCACGGAGGGAATACATTTGAAAGACTTGATAAAAACGAAATTGATTTCAATGTTGTTAATTAGTCAATATGTATGCTATGTGCATATGAGTAGATTTATTTGCTATATAGATAATGTTGATCGCAAATAATTTCAATAGAATTTAATTTTTTCAAATTGGCAGCGGGTTTTAGTCCCATAAGAAAAGCATAGGACCCCCCCTGCGCTCCTCACTTCCCTCGGACCCCGATATACCTCCTTAAATAAAACGAAAAAATAGTAAGAGCCAATTTTTGATCAAAATTGAGCTAAAATTTAACCATGTGATTATAAATTTGAAACAACGGAGAACCAATTTTTTCTTTGATTAAATTCAAGGGCTTGCAAGTAAGTCCGGTCCTGTAATTCATGTTCAACATAATAATACCTACGAATGTGTATTGTACAGTTGTAAATAGTTAGTTGTCCAAATTTCATTTAATTCTGTCAAGTAGAAATACAGATTTTTGGAAAAAACATATTTTGTTGTTAAAACTGACACCCTGTACTTAAGGAACGAAGCTAAATCGGACCCTTGCTGATATGAAAAAATAATCTTGTTTTTAGGTTAGAAATCTGCCTCCGAGCGTTGACCCATGTTTTCTGAAACACTCGTATTATTACAGTCTTTACGAAGTTAGTCAGAACATGTATAAAAACGCCTAGCAATAAAATTTAATGAATTTCGTAGGCGTCTCTAAAAAAGTTTTTTGTTAAAGGTAAAAAATTATAATAATTTGTATATAATGTGTAGAAAATTTCTATTATATGTTCATTTGGCCAACAACATATTTTAATTATTTATGTCCTCAAACAATTTTATTGTATTGATGGTAAATTTCGTTTTGTTCCCTTTCAAAGGGTCTCCAAAATGCCATGTTGTAATAATATTAGTAAACAAAATGTCCTTTTCGCAATTGTAATATGAATGATGAATAGAAGGTGCCTGTAATAAATTAAAATTACCTGAATCACACCAAATTCCGCATTGCTGCGCTGCACTGCTAAGCAATTTGTCAACAACTGAAATTTATGGCCCAGTCGCCCAGTGCGGCTGGGTTTGTACGTCGTTTGGCCGCGCACGTATTCTTCAACTGGATGTCTATATTTCAACCAGTCAGCCATCTCCATCTAGCTCGTTGGTCTTCAATTGAGATCGGAGAGACTATACTGTTCGTGTAAAAATGTGTATAGTCAAGTGAAGTATATTATACAGCGTGAATCTAGATACTGTGACAGCTGAAAATTGTCTCGATAGTCATTTGTCTACGTTAATTAATATGTTTGTTTTTGTTAGGTGGATTAAAAAAAAATAAGCGTAATGATAAAATGATAGTTAATTCTCTGAATTTAAGATTTGAAGCAATACAAAATAGTGATTTTATCATAGTTAAAAATAATGAATAGAAGCAAATAAATTTATCGAAGATAAACAAGTGTACTGATAACGGATTTATCAGTATTGACCGATTAAGCTACTTTTCACTTGAAAATACTCTCTTTTTACGAATTTGATAACGGTTATCTACATTAGAGAACCTATTAATCAAAAGTTACATTACCCTTTATTTTACTTATCCTTATTATTTAATTACTGCAGTTAATAGATTTTTAATTGTTTTATTATTTTTTTTAATGTGTCGTATCAATATTTTTGTTTGTATTTAGTGTTAGCTTATTATATCCCGTACGCAAACGAAGTCAGTACATTTCACTTAGCTAATCAACACTCCATTAAATTAAAACAGTGTGAAACGGCTCGTAATTGAGTTTTCATACTGGATGCTCTGGCATGAAAGTCCTTGCCGAGGTCTCCCTACCTGCCCCGGTCACCCCTAGAAGTGGAGGGAGCCCCCGGCATTGCAGGGGGGAAATTTCACAGCATTTAATATTATTCTATTTGTAGATTCACTTTTAGTCCACATTCACTGGTGTAAATGCACTGATATCGTTTGATTGACAGTTTTGTAGTGCTTTGTGCGCTCCTTAGTTTGTTTTTATTTCGCTTTTGGTGTCAATTTTTCATTGTTTGTTTGCAGTATTTAATGTGAGATAGTGCATGCTACCGGGGACGGATGGGTATTCAGGAGAACGTGGAGGACATGACCAATAACTCTCAGGTAAGCTTGCAAGTGCTCGTTTTGGTGCTTTTGTTTTATTTTTGACGAAGGAATAATATAGTTTTTTACCTGCAAACTCTGGAGAAGTGGTAGATGGGTAGAATGAAACTGATGAAAAGCGTTAAAATTAAGGCAGTCAAACTCCTAACGCCCTGTATATACGTACCAAACAGCAAAATTTTCACTATTGCATTTGACTATAGTTTGTTTTGAAATAATATGAAGAAATAAATTAATCATTTATAAATTTGCCATAAGCCTACGATTAACTTTCTTAATCTTCATGAAATTATGGTAATCCCTACCCTTTAATCATACTTTGGCATAATATTAACCAGTGGCGGCTCTTGAGCTCCATATCAGGGAGGACAGAAAAATTTAGGTATAAACTACTAAAAAAAATTAAATATAATTGGGCAGTTTTATTTTAAGTGGTATTACTATTGAAATATAAAGAAAATGTGTTTCATATTATTTTTGATGGTGAAAGTCCTTTTTAATTACTTTTCCATTAAAGTTTGGTATTTTGCGTACCATTGCTTTTTCTTTGCTGTTAGTCTGTTTTTACAATCAATTTAAACTTTTACAATTTTTTAAAAAACACTGCGCTACTCCCCCTCCGTCTTTCACTGGTGCGCGACGGTAACCATGACCACCGCTGTAAACACTTTACATATAGGTAAGTGAGCTACACGGAGCCCACGTATTCAGAGTTGTGCAAGTCGAGTTAAATTGCCTGCACATTACAAATTTAACACTTAAAAAGGCAAACATAAAATTTTGCGTCAGTCCCCCAGTTTGAAACGCCACTGATCAAAATGAGTACATATTTTTTGACCATTTATTTTGAACTTTTGCCGCCTACATCCTTATACCTTTTTTTCCTCATCTTTATTCATGGAATGCCTGGAATTCAAATATAGGTACTACAAGAAACGCTATTTTTGTTTAGAACGAAAACGGGTTGTTTTTTGAAACATTAACTAATCCAAAGTTACTATAGTTTCATAAAATAAGCCTTGACTAAACTTATTGGGTAAAGGTTTGTTTAATTAACTGTTTTTTTTCCACAGCTGACACAATAGCCAAATAAACACAGAAAAAACTAAAACGATACGACAAATTGATAATTTTAGACAATACGCTTTGTATAAGTCTTAATAGGTATCTACCTTTAATGTCTGCCTTTATTATTTCTAGCGTGGAAGCAACGGTATTTTGCCATATATTAAATTAGATGTGATATAGCTTTTTTAAGGTATTGTCGATATTTGTACATAAACAGCATTTATTATTACTCTATCACATCTTAGACCGATCAAATTAACTCATTTAGAGGGGAAAAAAAAATAAATTGTTACCTGGAGTTTTATAAGTGGAAATGGTAAAGGGGCTTATAATAAACGAAAAAAAAAATAAATGCGTGAGCAGGGGCGGCGGAGGGTTGATTTGGGGGGTTGAAAAGTTATGAAAAATTGTATCATTGGAATTTCTGACGAAAGTTGACGTCAAACAAAAAAGTATCTAATACAAAAGTTGTAGATCATGCAAAAATCTACAACTTTTGTAGAAGTAATTTTTTAACATAACCTCAAAATTTTCGAGAAAAATGCGAAAAACAGGTTTTTTTCTGATTTTTTGTTTTTTATTTCTCATTTCCGCAAAAATAATTTAATTTTGACGAAACTTGGTGAAAGTATACCTTTCTCTGTCTTAAATAACCTCAAATTTTTTTAGATAAAAAAATCAAGAAGTTTCTGAGATATTCATTTTTTTCGGCCTGAAACACTTTTTTTTCAAAGAAAAATTCTACTTAAAAAAATCATCGTACAGAGTTCTGCCGGTAATCATTTTTTTCGTTTTGACATATACTTTTTGGTGAAATAAAAAAAATTGTAATCACAGTTCAAAAACATGCTCAAAAATGCAAAAAAGTAAAAAATGACTTGCAGCAATGAATTTTTCAGTAATTGTTGATAATTTGTTTAAATTTAAAAAAAATCAAAAACTGATTACACCATTCAATTGTACGGAAAAAATACAAAAAAAACTGTCTCATTGTTTGACCCAAAACTATTTTTGTACAGTATTGCTATAAACATAAGTCGAATAGTGAATAAATAAAATAAATAATAATTTTTTTCCGTAGGATCGATTAGTGTACTTATTTTTTTTAAAGTTTGATGAATTCATAGATATACAGTGTGTCCAAGATAAGGATGGGATAGCATTAGGATCTAGGAAACGGTAAGAGATACGGGGTGGCTCAGATTAGAAAAAAGTTGTGTTTTTTTATACCTAACAATATGCTGTTTAGAAAGTTTTAAAATTCCGGGTAGTTCCGGAGATATCCGGAAAAACCCGAAATTTTGCAAAATTGTTTAATTTTTTCTGGCTTTATTTGAAAACGAATTTTAAAATAAATTACATATTTACAATGCCACTTTTTTCGCTCTATACAATGGCGTCAACATTTTTGCAATCCGACGTTTCGTCTTCGAGGGGCCATCATCGGATTAATTTTTTTATATACGTCTGCTATTTTTATGACAAAATTTAAAGTCATTTTTAATTCTAAATTAGAGGATATTACTATTGTAATCGCTTAAAAAGTTTTAAGCTTGTTTTATGTATAATTTAAAATTTTTCCTGAGTATGACTGAACGCTTTCAAAATATCTATTGGATGAAGTCATAATAGTATAAAAGTCAATACCGCACAAAATATATAACAATTTTACTACTGTTAGTAATACTAATTAGAAATAATAAAATATTTCATAAATTCATATTATTTTTTTATTAGGTACTTTTTAAATTATGGATTAAAAAAAATTGTTGGATATTTTGTGCTGTATTGACTTTTATTCTCTCCTCTCTCTCTCTCCAATAGATACAGGTATTTTGAATGCGTTCAGAGCCGTACTCAGGAAAAAATTTTAATGATAGGTAAAAACCTTTTTACCGATTACAATAGTAATATCATCTAATACAGAATTAAAAATGACTAGATTTTGTCATAAAAATAGCAGCGATATATTTAAAAAAATTAATCTGACGATGGCCCGTCGAAGACGAAACGTCGGATTGCAAAAATGTTGACGCCATTGGATAGAGCGAAAAAAGTGGCAATGTAAATATGCAATTTATTTAAAATTCGTTTTCAAATAAAGCCAGAAAAAAATTAAAACGAGTTTACAAAATTTCGGGTTTTCGGATTTCGCGTCAACAGTAGACTTTGCAGTTAATACTTTGTATTGCTGAAATCTCAAATCATCCAGAGATAATTTATCATTTGTGCATTTGTAATTCGACTTAGATGTTTATAGCAATACTGTACAAAAATAAAGTTTTGGGTCAAACAATGAGACACAGTTTTTTTTTTTTTTTTCTGTAGAATTGAATGGTGTAATTAGGTTTTGAATGTTTTTTAATTTAAACAAATTATCAACAATAACTGAAAAATTCATTGTTGCAAGTCATTTTTTATTTTTTTGCATTTTTGAGCATGTTTTTGAACTGTTATTACAGATTTTTTTATTTCACCAAAAAGTATATGTCAAAACGAAAAAAATGATTACCGGCAGAACTCTGTACGATGATTTTTTTAAGTAGAATTTTTCTTTGAAAAAAAAGTGTTTCAGGCCGAAAAAAATGAATATCTCAGAAACTTCTTGATTTTTTTATCTAAAAAAATTTGAGGTTATTTAAGACAGAGAAAGGTATACTTTCACCAAGTTTCGTCAAAATTAAATTATTTTTGCGGAAATGAGAAATAAAAAACGAAAAATCAGAAAAAAACCTGTTTTTCGCATTTTTCTCGGAAATTTTGAGGTTATGTTAAAAAGTGACCTCTACAAAAGTTGTAGATTTTTGCATGATCTACAACTTTTGTATTGGATACTTTTTTGTTTGACGTCAACTTTCGCCAGAAATCCCAATGATACAATTTTTCATAACTTTTCAACCCCCCAAATCAACTCTCCGCCGCCCCTGCTCACGCATTTATTTTTTTTAGATTTATTATAAGCCCTTTTACCATTTCCACTTATAAAAGTTCAGGTAACAATTTTTTTTTTCTCCAAGTGTAATTTGGTTGGACTAATCTCGAAAAAGAAAGGATTCTTTTTTAAAAAACTTAAACAATGTGCTTTTCTAGCAAATGGCTACCTTTGCAGACCATCATCATCAATCTTTTTGTCCTCTCTTCGTGAATGTTTCATAATTTCATTAATATTATTGTTTTTTTTATCGTATTGAACAATAGACAGATACAAATCAGTTAAATAAAAATAGATACCTAGTAAAAAAATTCGTTTTTCGCCATTTCTAGAACACCACTTAAAAACTATGCAGCAGCTGGGGATTTTAAGACTGTTATTATTATTATTGCGAATGTGATGAACGTCTAATTCTGCGCTTCTTCTTCAATTTTTTTATAGAACATAACCAGTCGAAAACTGCTCGAGCATAATACAGCACAATACGGAGGATGTCTAAAACGACCCAAAATAAATTCTTAAAATCAATTATTCAGGGTCTTGGAAATAAAAAGGTAATTGATTTTTTACATTGGCAATGTCAAGGTCATAGCGTCTAATTGCGTAACTCTACGAGACTGGCCAGCCAATAATCTTAAATCGTCGTATTGAAAAAAATCGTACCGCGATTAAGTTATCTTTCGGATTGCGTTCTATTTGTAAACTCGGTTGTCAACAAGTAAAAGTGAAACAGGTTTAATTGTAGATGCAAATGTGGAATGATTTTCCAATCATTCCGTTCGCTACGCCGGAAAATTGCTTGTTTTATTTAATTCTTGAAAAATGCTAATGAACTTAATGGGTATTAATTATAAATGATTCAGTTTGTAACAAGAAATGATGTGAAAGGAAAATTAAATAAAGCATTTTCTGTTTAAGTTTATGAATTCATTGGTAAATTTGCAACTATCTTCAATAGATAGAGAAAAGCTGTTATAAAAGTTACAGGGTGTTAAAAATG